AAGCGTGATGTATATATTCTCTTAAGGCCTGAATCCGAGAAGTAATTCATTTTGTCTACACGCTTCACATATGTATTTTTTCATTGAAAGGAAGACAAATAAACAAGCTTGAATGTGATAGACATTAATTCCATATGCCCAAATACTGACGAGCGCATGATTCCACCGTGTCATGACACATATTATCACTTTGCCGCTACCTCACAGACTTCACACCAGTATGACCTGTACCCAAGCTACGCAAGAGCAAAGACTATACTATTCTACTGTTCAAAATCATCTCAATCACCGAAACGGTTTTTTTTTTCTTTCTAGGTAGACAGACAAACGGCCTTGTCAACAGATGTAGTTAGGAGAATTTCCACACGAGTTTGACGGAGTTGGAATGATAAAATAATATATTATTACATAATTCATTAGATGATAGGGGAAGAAGGGTATTTCAAAGTGGTTTCTCGTTTCAAAGCGTGGTGATAAGACTGAAATTTAATATCAAAAGGTTCTTCAAACGCTTCTCAATAATCATAGCAATGACTCTTAGAGTTTGTTTCTTAAAACGCAAAGCTGGGCTTTATTTTGAAATCCAGATAGGGTGAGAATTTGTAGACGCAGGCTCGATCTTATCGGTTCTTAACCCTCTTAGTCGTGCTGAAGCCTCGTTTGTCTCTCAGGAATCGTAGTGCTGAAAGAACAAAGGGAAATGCTTCAGATTTTTCTAATAAGGCTCAATTTGAGTGACAGCTCAACAAATCTTACAAAACCCTCGCCACGCATGACCGTGGGAAACAGGGAAATGATTCTTGTTTAGTTCTAGTGAGGGTTTTACGGCGCTCGCAACATCGTAAGGTCATCATCATCATGATCGCGATTCTTGATAGTTTAGAATAGGAAAAAACAACTGTTGCTTCTGTGATGTTTTAGCAGAGATATTACATTACCACATGGTACTCCACGCTCTGAACAACAAAACAACAACCTCAAACGGTTATGGATGGCACTGATAATAAT